CATTCCTACCAGTTTTTCTGGCAGTCTGACAATATACCCACAGTTTTTTTTTTGTTGTAGACGATGAACTTGTGATTGCTGAACGATGTTATGCACGAACTGAAGTGTTCAGTTGGAGGTCGGACTGTGAAGAGATGATACCCGGTGTTAAACAGGTATGTCAACCCACATCGAGAACGAGGGTGTGGTAGGGGAAGTTTCCAGTTCCAGGTGGTGATGCTCATAAATTCTGGCTCTGAATTATGGACCCATTAATTTCCACTAGTAGCAGGTGCTGACTGTCAACAGACGGTTTTTCCTGGGCCCTCCAAGGTGTGACCAAATAACTCATTACCTAGAATTTCTTCTCAAAAGGTCCAATGCGTCCTCAGAGCGGTTTCCTTTTCCTTCCAGCGCTTTCGGAGAAGTTCCGATTACCAAATTCCGTTCACAAAGTGCCGACACCCCCAAAGTTCGATTGCCGCTGAGTTTTGACGGTTTTACGGGGNGGGGTTGACGGCGGATTCTCAGTGTGCATGGAAATGACGGCATAGGTCGCGATCGCGAGTCGGTCGAAGATCGTCGCCGACCCGTCGTCTCTGTTGATTTTAGTGCAATGTTTAGTAGATTTGCATGGATAGCTCCCATTTCTCGGGAACTTTTGATCCAGGCACTTCACTTGTTATCAAAACAGATTATGGCCCATTATTGCGACCGTATTTGTCAACTCTTAAGACACTATCTTTCAATTTTTTTTATTTGGCTTTTTTCGCTGTATTTTTAGCACCATACGCCCTTCCCTTTACATTGTTACAGTAATTGATAGTGGATCAGTACTGTTCATTTATTTGGGGTTACACCATGCATTCGACTTCTATTCAAAACCACAGGTGTTTGGCAGTGTGTCTGACATCTGTACCAGATATATCTGATGTCTGGAATATGACAGAGGGCTTCTGAAACGATATGAAGGAATCTTTTAAAACTGCCATCAAATGGTCCCGCATGGGAAAGCAAAGCGTCTCTTTTGTACTAATGTTGTTTGTTCCCATTTTTGTTGAAGTTCTTCTGATGGTAAGTACCTACGTTTTGGTGTAATGGGACGGTTCGAATTCGAGAATAACTTGTAGTAAATGAGCTGAAAGGCCTTTGAGGTAAAAACTTTTCATCTGAAGTATCCCCTCAAAATAACCTCTTTGCTCGGCTTTATGATCCCAACAAATGACAATCGGGGTGGTCTATGATTACAGAGACCACCTAGTGCTCAAATATTCCCACCCGACGAAGTGAGCTCTTTTCTGTTCCGTTTTATTTAAACAAAGAATGGTCTTTGCAGTGGTCGGTAAACTGGTGAAAACTTTTTTGAAAAGTACACAAATCATTGGATTAGAAAGGAACAGCTTCAAAAAGTTCCATGAAAAGAATGAAGCGCTCTCGAAAATTTCTGAAATTTTTAGAAACTCACTCCAAATCAAAGTTTAAAAGAACATAAATGCTTGAAAAAAGACATAATAACCAGTGTAATTAGGAAAACTTTTGGTGGGGTTCCAATAACCGGTGTCTAAGGAGAAAACATCAAAGGAACTCTTTAAACGTGGTGAAGGGCCTCAAGGAGCCCAGAAGAAAGTTTGTTGATGGCCTCACTCCCGTTATCAAAGGACGACCTCGTGTTGCCAATGGAGTACTTTCCCAGAACTTCTTTATACCATTTTGATTTTTTTATTTTTTTTTTTTGACTCCTTCTATTTTCACAGATAATTTTTTGTGGAATTTGTGGATTTTTTCGGGTTGCTCTACTTTTTTGGGTGTTTCCTTGTTGTAATGCTCTGTTTTTCTTAATGTACGTTTTTTTGGCTGATCGAGTGAGTTGATCCCTACAAACCGCTCCCTTTTTCTTCGTTTTCAAGCAGAGCAGATTGCATCATAGTGCAAGCGGGCCGCTTTTTTCGGGAGCTCTGACGTGGTGGAAGAAGCAGAGCATGGAGCGCCTGGTGTTATTAGCCTGACCGAGTCGGGCTTTTTCACTGCTATCCCTTCTGAGGAGCTATATTTGTATCATATACCCGTAGGAGGTTGAACTGTCTGTGTAAACAAATGCCTCTACATGTTTAAAAAGTCAATTGTTTGGTATCCCAGAAGAATTGACATGCTCCAATCGCCCTAATCGCTTCGTTTCTTTCCTTCGTTATCGCCCGACACCTGCTCAATTGTCATGTTGAGGGCAGCTCTTGAATACAGATGAACCATTATCTGCACGTACAGAGTGCACCCGCTCAGAGAACGTAGAATTAATTGTTTTCATTAAAAACACCTTACAACAGCCAGTGTACAACCCTTTCCTTTCAAAGTCAATCAACTACGAAGTAACAAACCTGCAAAACTGTTCGGGGCTCTGCTTTGACCTTTTAAAGCCATAGAAAGACTATAAGCAGATAGGGCCCACGCTGTGGTCAGTGCACCCAGTTATGGGAGATTTTCGTTTAAATATGGTCCGCAGAACCAACGGAAACTCGAGCGTTGGTGACCAAAAACTTCTGCAAGATAATCTGAAGACAAGTTCGACCGAATCGATTTGATCTCAGGAAGGTCGTACAGTTTTTGGCTTTAGACACATCGGCTTACCTGAACAGCTTTTACAAGAGCTCCCTGCTCAACCATATTCTACCAGGCTCCTCCACCCACATGCTCTAGCGGACAACACTTTCGTGTGCTAATGGATATCGGCGGAGTCCACCTACTATTGGGTCGCCCCCCCCCCCACTCTAGTTTATAGTTGTCCCAAGCTAGTGGGTAGGGAACAATTATCTTCCATGTGCAATAGTCCGTGCTAGTTCACTAATCAGGACGAACTCGTTAGCATAGGCATTAGAGGGTTACCCAAAAAAAGAAAACTTTCGGTTAGGGATCTGTGGTCAAATAAAAAATGTACAGGGCACTAGCTCAAAATAAGAATCAAAAGCAATGGAAATGCAAAAATTCAACATTACTCAATCGCTTGAAGCTCTCTAATATACAAAGGATTGTATGTGTCCATTTACCAGCTCTATCCTTTTCCGTTTAAGGAAATGATTAGAATATGAGATGTTACACCAGTACCTTTTTTCGGATTCCCGTCTCGTTCTTTCCTAAATTTTCCTTTCTCGGGGAAAAAGTCGTAATTACTCCGGTGAAAATCACAACCGCATCCAAACCAATTTTGCTGTTCAGAACTCGAGCTTGGAAACGATCTCATTGCGAAAAGCCAGTGCCCATCCAAGTTCCGTCAACGCCTATCAGGGAGATATTCAAAGGTAAACGGCTCTCTTTATTAATTTTCTGTGCTTATTCATTACTCATTTACCTGGCAGCTTGAGGTTATCATGATTTTTGAATGGTTTATGATAAAGTTTCTGACAGCAGCTCTCCGTACAGTTTTTAATAGGGTAGGGAGAAACTTTCACGGGGCGCCCTTTGCCGATTCAGTTATATCAGGTCATAAATCAGCTGAACTGAAAAATCGTTGTGCGCTCGGCGACTACTATCAGGTTACAATTTTGCAACGTCGGAGGGCGACACCGGAATGATCAACTTCCTATCCCTCCAATACATGGGAGATAATGAGCTTCATTATGGGTGCAATTGGTAGTTAGACTGTTTTTGAAACATCAGATAATAAGCTGATGGATAAAAATATTCGGGATGACCGACCCGAATTCTGGGATGCGCCCCGCATTCGACTTTCATTCAGAATCGGCATCAACGGCGGTGGCACGCGTGCGTGGTCTGTACATGCGGTGGGCAGCCGATGTACAAGTCAGTGCTTTCATCCTCCCAGAGAAGCCTGAAACCAAATAAGCCAACCCGAAGTTTTCGTAGACTGAGGCTTGGTTGGCCAGGGCGAGTATCGATCCGGTAATTTAACCCCGGACTAGATCGTGGGATAGTGCGCCACCCGCCACTACACCACTTTCGCATTATTTATGCACTTTCTGTGATGGGACATAGTGATCAACAAGAAAACGTTGTCTCTAAAAAAGGAATTTTCCTAGGAAATTGCATCTATCAGATTCTCAGGGATACGGTATCGAAGAGGAGGCGTTAGCACGGTAACGGCGATCGAGGCCATTCCACAGCATCGAACACCCTCTCCTCGTATCGTATTGCTGTCTGAAAAAGTCCGTATATCAGGACGGCAACAAATGAATCATTCTATCCAATGCGTGCAATATTCAAGGAATTGTCGCTGCAAAGGAACCAATCAATCGTTACTTAATGTTGAGTAAAAAGCGAGGCCGATGCAAAGACTAACCACTGCAAATCTTTTAATTTGGCAGCCCACTAGGCACATGTGGTCTCTGGCACCGACAGGAAGAGAAGCTCAAATCATGGTAGATTGAGTGAATGATTTTATGGTCCAATTAGCTCAAAATGATGTTTCCGGTGACTTTCCATAGTTATTTTTTAAATTGCTAGCTACTCGTCACCTGCTGTCCCGTTAATCATCGATTTCCTCGAGCGACCGTCATTAACATCTTCTTTCGTCTCTGCAGCGAATCAGTGTAACTCACTGAACCCTATCAATTAGTTCAGAAAGAAGTCTGACCATCTTGTTGGCGGTGTTCTTTCTCGAAGTTGTTCCCCATTCAGACTGACACATTCTTGATCAAGAATTTCTCCTTATTGCCTCCGAACCAAAAATGTTCAGCCTATCGAAATGAATTAGGTCCTCAGTCCTGCAAAGGGAAGTTTTTGATGCCAGCATAAGAAAAACTTTGGAAGCAGACTACATCAGAGACTCTTAAAGGCCTCCTTTGTACTTTGGGAAAATATCAGTTGAACCACTTATTGCCCAGCGTGAAGGGCGTCACTAGTGTGAGCCAGATTTCAAGAAATGAATAGATTTATCTTTTTCACGGCCTAGGAAATGGCCTAGCATTTATTCTTACGCTTGATGTATTTGTACTCATAGGCCTCAAGTACAGAGGCACAAGCACTCAGTAGGCGCATCCTCCGTAATGCACTAATGAACCAAATGCTTTGTTGTACCCAGTACATCACTAATTAGTGATGCAACGAGTGGTCATTTGGTCCGAATTACCCTATACTTTCTTTTCACCACATCATCAGATCTTGATGCACTTTTGGATGCAGAGCATTTTCTGAACCCGAAGACGTTACAGGCTCTCTCGGTTTAGGGGAGACGGGCGTTAGGAACGATTTCGGGTAATCGATTTGCCGCACGCGGCTGTCGCGGACCACTCATTCACCGTTATTATAGCTCTAGCGTTCTTCATACAGCTCAATCAATATGCGATCATTATGTTATGCATAATTCTACTATTAGTACTTTTGTTCTTGTATTTCTTACCTACTGCTGCATCCTGCTACATTCCTTCGCGCGCGATGCCCCTCTCACCGCGACGCGACCATTTCGTTCTTAATGCACCACACCCGTGAAAATAAAATGCTGGCTGCGGAGCAGGACTACCGGGGAATACACAGGATTATTTGTACATAGTATTATGCGGTTAAGAGAAAAACACCTTAACACCTATTAACACCGAGCTATAACTGTCGCTTGATAGAAGGGATACGTTCCTACGTCCTAAATACGCATTCATGGCGCAGCCCGAAAAGTTGCTGGGATCTCAGCTATCCTGCTGCTATTGAGTTTCATGTGTGCCATGCATTGCTATTGATGACCTAAATACCTTAATTACCCTTCTGCAGTTCTAGCTTGCAAAATTTCCAAAAAAAATCTTTGTTTTTCCAAATTGTACTTTCTGGAACCAAATTTTTCGATGGCCTAGGTTGCCTTATTCGAGGCTGGTTCCTTTTTGTTTCAGATGCGTTTCTCATAAGCCTGTAGTGGCTGAGCCACGAACAGTGATGAAGTTAGAATTCGATCTCGACAAACGTCGGCAAGAGCTCGATCCATGTGAACTACGACTACGACGTGATAAATTGAAATGCAGGGTTGCTGTTGACTACAGTAATCTAATGTTTCGTGCACGTATGAAGATTAGTGTAGTGAAAAAACGAAGTGTTCTATTGTTCTTAGACGGGTGTCACCTATAAACTGGTACTGATAACGCGACATCTTTGTGGATGGTTGTGTACAGATAAGATCATGCAATAAAATGCCTTTTATATCACTCTGATTTCGCTCTTCCATACATTTCTTTGATATTTTGGTCTTTTCATCGCTTGGCTTTATTTTGCTGATCATAAAGGTCATTTCTTTAGATAGCGTCCATTTTAGGGTTATTGTCAATAGCGAGGCCAGATAGTTGGTGAAGAAGCACATCTATATGTTTGCTACTTCCCTTTGGGGAATCCAATCGTGGAACTGGTCCCACATTTCCTCCTGGTTGAATCATCCGGACCATATTGGAACCAGTAAAGCGTGAAATCACTTCTAGATGATTTCCAGATACAATGGGCATGTGTGCCATAAAGCCCTCTGATTGGTCATTTCATGTCATCCACCAATCACAAACACCCACGGAAAAATCACCCAGGAGACCTTAGCCTTCCTACTCGTGACTTTCCCCTCCGATATTAGATCCAAATCTCTCTGTTAATTGAAGGTACAGTTGGAGGAAGGTAAAATGTCATAGGTTAGTCAATACAGCAGCAACTTCTTACCCATGGGTAAGGCAACTCTCAAAGGTCCAGGTTCTGGGCCATTTCTAGGGTGCGGGTACCACAAGACGAGTTCCAAAGGGCCCTGCGTGTCTGAGACGTTCGCATAAGGAAGACTCAAGTTCGGAGAAGCCATCACAAATGGTCTCAAAGTAAAAGTTCGAGGAAGATGGCTAGGATTACCCAGAACCCGCCCTCAGGCTTGACACTGACCAGATCGTGGGAGTTACCCTCAGATCTTCAAAAGTGTAAAGTGAGTAAAACAACGAAATATGAGGTAGACATGCATCAAGTGAATAGGCCTAGCCAGGGACTACCCACCCACCGTCAGACCCTGGTTGACACCTGCTCCCGTTCCCGAATGCAACTTCAGTTCTCTCTCTATCGACTTGCCATCTTTTCACTTCTTTCACAACTTCGGGAATATTTCACCGGTCTCTTGCACGTATGAGAATCTTGATAAACTCTCTGATTGTTATCGAAATTGCTATTCCGAACAACTGCCCCTTTTGTCGTGGTTTTTTTGTAAAAATGGTAAAAATGTATTCCTAAATAAATAGAAAAGTTCTGCCAGATCTGCGCTACAGAACATCAAATATACGATCTTCAAAAAAAACTTTGCGATAGCCTATTGCATGGCTGAATAGTTTCCATAAACAATCTGTGACAGCTAACTACCCTGCTGTTGTCAGCAGACAATTTTGAACGAAATCACGGAGGTCGTCTGGTGGTGGCGTGGTGGCAGTCGGCAGGCGATATGGCGACTGATTTCTCGGTCTAGACCGATGGAACGCAGACTACGAGAGTGTCTGCCTCACAAAGACTTCTGTCGGAGATTGAAATGAAGGAGCCTGAGCTACTGCAACAAAGGAATTTCCTCAAAGGGAAGGAAACTTTGACTTGTTGAGCTATGATCACCACGACCACTGATAAGACCCATATCTACAAAGGAAAAACCTGTTTCGAGGAAAACAGCCAGGTGAAGGCATGGGAATGTTCAGAGGCATACCTTCGCTAATGGATATAGAACCCATGACAACGAAAAGTCAAAAAGAGAGGGCCAAGATAAGCCGATCCCAATTATTACGCCATGAATGAGGTCTCCAATCCCAATTGTGGAACCTTTCGAGTGTACACGGGATAGCCTACCAATACCAGTTCCTTCGCCCAAGTAGGGAAGGCTCCTACCATCGTGCGAAGCTTTTTACCTACCCAACTCCCATATGAGCCTCGGGAATGGGGCAGGAATAAAATGATCCGTCTTAGCGGGCCGAGGGGATTCACTTCAGCTCCAGATTTATTACTCATATGTCCTTTTTTTTATTTGTCAAACCAGTTTTTCACTGGGGCAAGCAGACCTGAGGCCTTTTCTCAATGAAGAGGCTGGTTTATTGCTATCTGGGTGAAATCTTTCCAATAAAAAAATGGTGGAAACGGGGATGGATGGGNTAGAGGGAATGTGGTAGGGGCAGCCTAGCGAAGGGGAGAGGCTTATAAAAACTCTACCAACCCCCACAGTGGTCTCGGAAATGGGAACCGTCACTTTCCATATATCTGTGGGAAGATTTGCATCAGGAATACTCTTCATCATCTGTCTCATCGTGTCATCTCTTTGGAAAATGACATCAACGTAATCGATCAGAGTGCAATCCGCCTTGTTCTAATAAGAAATTCAAGCTACGACTGACGTCAACACATTTTCAGCAACCACCCTGTCAGAATGTCTCCCCGTGGGTTTTTCATGGGCTAAAAAACTACCCGAATGGGATTTTTTCATTTTCACTAATTTGATCATTTGAAATTAAACAGCCCTCTTTTTCCGTTCCACTACCCAATTCTACGAAAAGATAGTGAAACGGGAAAGTTCTGGAATTGGCTTAAAACGTTTTTGATGGAGCCGAAATATGACTGTGCGAGATAAATAAAAAGTAGTTACTGTAGCTACAGTACTCCAACGATCCTCATCTTACTCGCATACTGTGACGGAGGACTTCAGGAAAGGCGGCTCACTCGGGGGTTATCTTATTGTCAGGAGAGGGAATGAAGTTTGAGGTACTTGAATTGATCCAAACTACATCTCCAAAGTCCGACGGGCAATTTTTACAGATTGATTCATGGAACAGGTGACGGTTGAGCCATCTTTCCTTCATGAAAGCCGCTTTTTAGCATAAGGACTGATAGTTTCCTGTCTCTCATACCTATAACTCAGTTAAGAGCGATTAAAATTGGTCTGGTTGTGCTCAGCTCCTCTCTGAAGATCAGTATTTTGAACTAAAAACAGCCGGGATCTATTTATCACAGCCAGCTTGATTTTATAGAAGATGAATAGCTCTGGGGGAGTCAGCCGAGCGATTAATGCGAAGTAGCTCCTAGTTCCTGAATTCCAGCTCCTGGAACAGCTTCAAAAAAAACTGCTGAGGCTTTCTGAAATCGACCTGCAGCCTAGATTGATGAATCTTCTGGAAAAATGGGGGCAGCCGCATCCAGGGCCATCAAAGCTCTATAGCCCGTTCGGCAGTGGTCCATATTGAAGTTGCCGACGTCCCAGGGTGGGAGGTCTAGCTGGGAATTGAAAAAAACTTTTCGAGCCAAAACCCACCCCCTCGAGGAAGTGACAGGTCAATTGCAGACGATTGTAATGACCCCGCTTGTTTGGTGTAATACCACTAGTTGCAAACTGGTATGATAGAGGAAAAAACCGTGAATGATTAGTTGTAACCCATTGAAGAGAAGAGCTTTGTTGTTCAGTGCATGCACTCTTTCAGGACAGCACCAGCTGCTCTGAACAATGGCAGTACATCAATGTCCTGAACTTTTCCTTTTCCGATTCGATTCTGATATGAAGTAGGTCCTGAAGGTCTCCTCCCAAGCCGTCTTCATTTTGACAAATACATTTGAAAAATTCAATATTGAAATCCCCATCAGGACTTTCAGTCCGACATCACCTGGAATGTACCAGTACTTTGTATCGGCCGTCTACCAGGAACATGCCGATTTTACATAATAACCAGTTGTTTCTCATTAACCAGTTGAATGCTGGAATCGCATCAGTTCTACCAACTAGTCCTACTCTCCGACTATGTTCCTCTCCCTGATTATCTCTGTTTTTTCCCACTCCTCGGTTTCCCGTCCATTTGTTGGAACTCACAATAATCTTTTGCACTTTCTACAGACCCTTGTCACCCTTGGTCCTCCTGGAATCTGTTGTTTACCTCAGGTAAAAAAGCTAAGCTTTAATAAGAACTTTCTTAAATTCTACAAAAAGAGGGTTCAAAATTCTTTGTAGGGGTTGGCAAGGGAGGAAACCTGGAGTCAAATACTTGTAATCAAAAAGACAAAGTTGACTTGTGTCTTGTGTAGTCCACAGATTGGGTAGTGAAGGAATTCCCATCCGCTGCTGAAAATGGATCGATTTCTCGACGTCAAGCCTTTCCGCCTGGGTACCACTGAACTTTGATTTTTCAAGGATGAATCAATTTGAAATCGATAGATCAAATAAGCTGGGTGGGCTATCGAGAAGGAAGAAGAGCGCGGTTTAAAGTGACAAAACACCAAAAACTGGGTCCACCTTTTGGCAAAATAGTTCTACAGGGGATACAGTGCACCACGGCGGTAGACTGGCCTCGTTGGTCTTGTGGCCAGAACTCGAAAGA